GCTCGGGCACTGTCTGTGCCGTGGGTTTATTTGTCAATCGTTCTTTGCCTCTTCTATTTAAGCTGTCAGCTATTTGAAGTAGTGACCTCCTCATCATCTTCTGGTACCCGTGGCTGTGCTGCATACAGCACAGTGGGGCCCTCATCTCACGTAATTACCCGATTTGGTTTAATTTTGCTTGAGACACAAAAAAAGGCTGAATACGCTTGCCAATGATTCTGCTTTAAGTACACCTTGGAGGTGTGCTCCATTAGATACACAACAACAAGAATGCTTCCCTAGAGCTCTGCATTGCTCTATTCTGAGCCATCAAAGTCAAATCTAAGCAATAACTAACACTTGTCTGAAAGAATAAAGCAGTCATTAAAGTTAGGTACTGTTATTTCCAGTGATGCGGACATTTCTTGGCAGTACAGTGTGCTAAGCACAGGTTATTTTACCCTAAGAATAGTTCCATATGACGTCAAACTGGCAGATCTTTTAACTGACAATATCTGGACTTTCTAATTTGTTTCTTTTAAGAACAAAGCTGTTCACTGAATTTCCACTCCTGAAAGATACTTTTGACACTGAACAAACTTAAGAAAAAAATATGAAACCACTGGCAAGTCTGTTTCACACATTCTCCTTTGAATTCTCTTGGCTATATACTTTTTAGAAGAGGAACAAAGTATTTTACAAATGAAATTTGAAAGGCCTCATATTTGTCCAAATACAGATTAGTCAAATATATCTCACATCCTTATTCAGAGCAGCAGAACTACACACACAGAGCTTCTGAGTGGGAGGTACCTTCACCCAATATATATTTATCGCCCACTTGACTTCTGCCACTCTTTCCTCACCTTTAAATTCAGAAACTTCAGATGAAAACCTGGGTATGTAATTGGGATTTCCTTCAGTATTTACTCAATATTGTCATTCCTTTGTTGTAGTGACTAATATAGAAGGTATTAGAATTAATACAAACTACTGTTCTATGGTAACGCCTATTAAGTCCAACCCCAGGGAGGAGGGACAGGAGAGGAAAGCCTCATCATAACTCAGTATATACACACCCAGAGGTGCCTTACTTCTTCTGATTGGTACCCATGAAGAAGACTATGACTATGGTCTCCTAATGTAATACACTTCTCTGCCAGAGGGAAAGACCCTGATTGTTTTGGAGATGGAGATTTCTCCATCTGAAAGTGTGGAGTGAATTCCCCTGAGGCTGAGTGTCCTCACCACCCTGTAGCAATTTCTGCTTCAAGTAGAAACACATTTTATTGACTTCAGTATCTCAAAAAAAAAGCCATTAGTGGCACTTACCTTTGCCATAAATGATGAACAAAAGCAAGTCCAGCAAAAAAGAAAAAAAAATTCACTGCATACACTTTCTCTTCTGGGAAGAGAATTAGACAATGAACAGAAGCACTTTGTAATACCCAAGACTTCAACAGTACACAGACAATACTGCAGCATGTAAGTTAAATATATTTATACATAGACCAGATTATACTAGAATAGAACAAAACCATGTTTGAAAATGATGGTCTTAAAGTCACTCAAAATGACCCAAGAACCTAATTATTCACAGAAGATGGATAAAAATAAGAAATCACAGCAGAAAGGAAGGATATTAAGTGTTCATAGGTTTCATATTTGCAGTTCAGTGTTACCTATATTCACCTAACACAGAGCAATCATATCGCCAATTGCAAACTAAGCAAAAAGAAGGAATTATCACTATTTCGTACGTGGGGAACTATAACGCATAATGACTGCATTTCTTGCCTGTGGTCACTCACATATACCATGTGGCTGTCACAAACTGAACTTTTTTTCCTATGTTGCTGATGAATGTCTTAAATAAACCATCCTTCCTCCAAGACTTCTGTGTTAACAGTAATACTGCATTATCCAATGCAATGAGCCTCAGCCACACACCCAGTCCTCTCCATTCTTTCATCATTGTTTTCCTTCCTAGTGTTTGCATTTAGAAAACTTCCTGATCCCCATGACTTCCCCCCCCCCCCCTTTTTTTTTGAATTATTTCACGTTATCACTTCTGACACATAGCCAGTGGAGGATGCACTTCTGGGCTGCATCCTCCAGTGGTGTAAATGAGTGCAGTGGGATAGAGTAATTCACCTGAGCTACTGTCGATCTGAGGTTATACCCCAGAGGATATCAATGGGAATCTCTTCAAATTAATAGATGATTTTTTACTTCTGTGAATCAGCTTGTCATTGTTTGACTTTTTCCAGTGCTGTTTAATCACGATGTCTTCCACTATCACTTCATATTCCCTGTCTGGGAAGGAAGCATACAGACTCTATTTTCAACCACAGCTCAACTACTCTGCCAGCTCTTAAAGAACGGAATTTGCAATTGCATGGAAGAACATATCAAAGGAGACAGGTCTGACCATGACTGTCACTACCAAAACGGCTTCCCTGTCACATACTCTCCCCAAAGCTTTAATCTTGTGATGACACAAAGTTAGAGCTATCTCTTCTCACATTAGTGAAGACTGGAAAGCTGCTTGCCCACACGGCAACTGCAGTCTGCCGACAGCACTACCAAGCACAAGGTGCAGCATGACTAATTTGTTGTCTGCCTATGGCATTCACAGTCCTAGATGTGTTTTGTGGCCTTTCTCCAGATCCCTGGACTTGGACGGAGAGTGTCAGATACTGCTTACCTGTGTTTAACAACTACCACTTATTACCATGGCTATTTTTCTGTATTGTAGGACAACCTCAACAGTTAGTGTTTCTAAATAACTTCAGGAATAAGTTTAGGGTATGAAAAGTATGCTAAAACCCCATACAACAGAAAAAGGGGAAGAAAATGCAGGAGACAAACTTCAGTCAGGTCTTCCGAACTTGGAGACCTGTCAACATTTCTTTCCCCCAAAACTGCATTTTGTTATTTTTTGTTCTCCTCTGAGATGCTCAGCATATTTCTCATCTGTATTACTTCTGGTTTCCCAACACCTGAAGTCCAGTCCTCCTGCTTGCATTAAAACAAGACCTGTGCCCTGGCAGAAGACCGCTGCCCAGTCCTCCTTCTAAAGAGCACATATTTTCTTCTATATTATTTGCAATATTCTATCTTTTAAAAAGTTTCACTTTCTTGACCTTGTCTGTTGAAAGCTTTATTGCTTTTCTAACTTGCTTTAAATTAACAGAACTTTTTCTTCATTTTCTTGTTTATGTATCAGTTTCATTACTGCCGTCACACAGCTCTGGGGACAAAGCTAGTTAACGGCTGCATCTTGACTGCTGCAAATACAATCGCACATTCTGCCCTGCGATATATGCGTGTAATTCCTGTTGACAATGCAGTGAAAATCAATTTCATATGACACTGAGAACTGCAGCCACTTATACAAGGCAGCATTTGACTCTTAGGATTACACGGTCATTTCTAATTTGGTAGAAAGTGGTACTGCATTATTAAAAATAGAGAAATGCAAGGATCACAAACCCAACCAATTCATCCCATCCACAGGGGCCACAGTTTCCGAGTGCAGAATTGATCCATTATCCTCATGTCATGCTTTTTTGGCCCATCCATCCTTTGGTGCACACAGGGATGTACACTTGTATAACGTACAATGCAAACTCTTATCCAGTAAATACTGGCTTACCTGTTCTAACTACATTTGGTTTATCCTGATTTAAAACAGGTGTGGATTTAGTTCTCTGCCTCCTAGTTTGACAGAGAATGCTCACTCAATTCACATAAGTGAAAGATGTCTCAGTCTGACCTGGAAGGCTGAGAAACCAGTGGTCATGCCCACTGCACCCCTAGGGCCAGTGCTGTCAGTCTGAACAAAAAGCAAAGAACAGTAAAAACTCAAGGTCAAGGACTCTCTTATAACAGTTCTCCTGGTTTCACTGGCAATTATACCTCTATAACTGAGGAAAGTTTTCTCCACCTCCCTTTCTAATCAGGGATGAATGGAACTCCTGAAATGAAGGCTTTATATTTATTTTATCTTCAGCTTCCAAAAGAAAAGGGAAATGCTTCAGCGTCTTTTTTTGGTGGAGCTTTTCAAAGCTCCATTCTTTAATGTAATAAAAAACCCCCATACAATAGCATTCAAAACAACACAGCTTTCAAAAAACGTCCGCTCATTACCGTATAAATAGCACAGTCACTTACTCAGTATACCTTCCTCTGCCTATCATTCCAGTGTCAAGCCTGCAAGTTCAAAGGTGCACCCTTTTTTTGCCAAAACCAGAAGCTCTATTTTTTGTCTACTAAGCAATTATTTTATGAGGGAAGAATAATTGAGTCCATTTTAAATGATATATTGTCTGTCAGCCAAGTAGATCTGTTCTGAAAGGCATGGTCCTGACAGTCGGACACGGCTTATGTTACTCTGCTTAATTTCATGTCTACTGCAGAAATAGGTGAATAAGGTCAGTAGCTACAAAAATTACTTTAGAGGTTTGAGTATTTCAGATATAGATCTATAGATATAGACTTATGCGACAACAAAAGAACACATATGCAAGACAATACGAACTTCCATTGCCATGTGTGCTGCACCTAAACAACAAATTTTCCTAGTTTATACGTCTCCTCTGTTGCCCTATTGCATTCTAAACAGCATGGTATTATTATATGAAGTATAACACTGTGACATATGAGGCAGATCAAACTCTCTCTGTTGGACAACAATTTGACCAGCCCAGAAAACTGCTTTTTTCTTTAAATTTGTCCTTTTAAAACTGCAGAAGAAAGAGATTATTGTTCTAGAGCCACAGCTTATGAGAAATACAACTTTGAAAACACCATGCAGTTTCAGAAATTAATTCAGCATTAGACAGTTCAGTTGCTCAGTAACAACATGGAAGACATGAACCAAGCCACAAATCTATTTACAGGAAGACTGTTTCATCTACAACCCATCTCTTCATGCCTTGCAAATGGCCTCAGCAGCATTAATTCAGATAGTCTTTTGACACTAAGAAAACAGATTTGTTCATCTCCAGCCTACTCACATGGCACTGTGCGGAGGTAGAGATTGTCTCTTATGATCTGCTGGAGCTCATGGTCTACCGAACCTTTCTGGAACCGTAAATTGAGGTAGTGACGAAGGTCCTTATCAACAATGCCTCCTGTCAAGGAAAAGACAAATGAAAGCATGATTTAAAAATATATTGCTTTGATGGAGGCAATGAATCACTTGTAAAGTCTCAGTGGCTCATTTTCCTTCATGTTTCTGTCACGACGGATGACAGAAGCACAAAGAGCTTTCTGATTAAAGCATGCAGTTGGTATAATATTACTTAGTATCAATAACTGTAAAGGTTAAAACAGCTAACGACAACTAACTGCCTAGATCTGTACAGTCCAGAAAATACATACAGGATTATAGACAGAGGTGTCAATTTTTTTCTGCACAAAACTGGAACATATTGTTATTATATAACTACCTAAACATATATCTAAATAATACATTGTTAGGTATTATGTTCCCCATGACCTTGTACCAATTTCCCACCTGCTTATTAAACCAAAAAAATCTTGGTTCAAAATGTCTCTGTGATGTTCAGTGTTTTCAGTCCAAGTGTAACCAGAATAAAATGCAGCTGTACTTAATGATCACATAAATATGATATAATCCTTTGTGTTACTTATTTCTAACAACACTTACATCTGGAAAAGATACTATAGCAAACGAGTACATATTTTATTTCCACCACTGAAAAGAGAGTCATTAGTAATAAAACATCTCAGCATAACACTGTATATTTGCCACTTTATTATAACATTAGGAAAAAACAACTTAAAGTATTGTTTAGCCACTGACTGGTGTATCATGTTCCACTATTAAAGGTATACCTATAAATCTAATCCAACATTATTAATAAACATTTCCCAATATAGTTCCTCTCCATTTCTTTTAACCTGGAGTATGGATCATGTTTATAATTATGGAAAAAAGTCTATAACTAACTGCATTTCTTCCTTCTCTGAAATTCTGACATGAGAAAAATATAGAAAATCATTATTACACCAAGTTCTGACATATATTCCTGAGGTGAAAAATTGCAAGCAGATAGATCCCTAACTTGTTGCTTCACACATTCAACCCTAAAACAGTTTTCAAATGGCATTTGCTATTGAACCCTCTGCCAAAAGTCTTATTGACTTGGACTATATAAAGATTTTCCTGTAAAAAGGAACAAATAACATTCCTACCTAATTATTTGAAAGTCACTGCAGAGCACAAATGGTTATAAAGTGAAATATATTTCTCCTTACAGCTATTCCTATTTATCTGCCAATTACAAGTCCATAATCTTATCGTTGCTGCTCTTTGTCAATAACTTCAAAACCTTTTGTTCCAGGTTTATAAAAAGCTTATAAATAATTTCTGTCATCTTTAGCTAAAGGCAAAAAAACAGCAGATTTTCATAATCAAAAGGGAAAAGAAAAAAAAAAAAGCCCCAACTCATAACAGACACAAAGAAATACCTGCGTGGCCGGTTCCCAGAGGCTGAGAACTTCCATACAGATCGCTGTTACTCCAGGATCCCAGCTGAGCCACTTAGTCTACTACTTTGCTATCACTAACCCTGTTTCTAGCAATGGGCTCTGTTTGCAGACCAGACCATCCTTACTCCTGCTACTTATGAGATTTCAGGGGAGGCGAGGGCTAGAGGAGGCTGCAGAGAAACTCTCTGCTCCTGATTGGAATCAGCCGTCCTTTCTGATCAGCTGCAGAGACTAAAGGTCCTGCAGCTCCTGCTCTTCTCGCTCTAATATACATACAGAACATGCCCAGTGATGCAGATGCTTTCTGGCAGCCTGAGAAAATGCCAGCTCAAGAACAACAGCTGTAACCTGCCTACTGACATAAACCTGAATCATTCAACTTATGACATAAGTAAGTTTAGGAACCTACACAGATTTCTGACCCTCGAAGTGCATTTTATATTTACAGCCTTTTGCTTCAAACACAGCCATTTACTTCACCATGTGTTAACGAATGCACTAAAACCTCCTAAGCACTTCATAAAAAGAGTCACCTGATATTTTTGGCAAATTGCATATTCCAAACTGGAATATAAAAATGTCTATTTACAAGAGGAGCTACCTACAGCCTTGTATTTGCTACATACAGATTCAAAAGCAAAAGTTTGTAACAGAAATAAAACCTGTACCTGGTGCAGAGGAAACAAACGTACCAGCTTCCAAGCACAAGGGAAACATCAATTTTTTCTTAATATCTGAGTATATAGTGTAACATTAGCAAAGTCTATTTTAAAGAGGAGTCAGATGAACTATAGACAGCACATGGACAATTGACAAATTTCCCTCTTCGAAAGTCATTCTGTTTTCTGACCTAAATGACATTTTTCAATTCTCTGGGCATAAGCTACCTTTTTTTTTTTTAATCTGGTATACCATGATATACAATGACTTTTACATCCTGGAAAGTGTAAAAAATAAAATAGTTCGAGAGTCCTGAAGAGCAGATGCAGTATTTTTAATTTGTCCTTCCAATTGTCATTCTTCTGCTTTTCTCCTCTAAAAAGCTTTGTTGTTTTACCTGATGCTTGTCAAAAGCATACTTGACTCCAGATGTGCTTTCCAGGTATTTATAATACCTGAGGTTTGAGCAGCCTGATCCTTTTAAAGTACAAGCAGAACAAAATCTTGAGTGTGCTAGTATGGGGCCGTAAGACTTTTTGCAAGAAACTGTAGTGATTCGCAAGAATGTGAAACAGACTTGATTTAGCAGCAGTAAATTAGATCTTGTGTTACAGACTATATAAATCAAGAATAACATGAGTAATAATAATAGGACTATGTCCTCAAAAAGGCTGAAATAAGAAACAGAAAATATTATCATTTGGTTTACTTTGGAGGGAAAAAAGAAACTTAGTGACATTGTCAGTATGTTCATTGAAAGAGAAGCAACCAGAAAGAAACTGTTTTTACAGGCGGTAACAATACTTCACTTTTTAGTGGTCCCATCCAACCCAGTTAGACAAGTGTCCGGTACTTGGTTTCTATAAAATTCAACTTCACATTATTTTCTCTTTTCGCAGTACATTGAAACCCATTGAGATGTCGAAAAACTCCTGATATGAACCTAACCCCCTAGTTTTCTATTATTCCCAGCCAGCCCACAGTGGTGGACCTCAGAACGATGCTCAGGGACCGCCGGCGCCTGTCGCACCGTACCGCCAGCCCCGCTGCAGCTGCACAGCAGCTCACGCAGAGAAGCTCAGAGAGAAGGAGCTCGTGAAGGCCACATCCTGCTCACCGTGCATGGCAGTGAAAGGAAGAGCTGTTGTGTGTCAGAGGTATTATACAGCACAAGCTTTAGAAACCCAACCCAGAGACCATAATTAAAAATGTTCTTTGGCCAGTGCCACAGGAGGAGGCTGACAACTGCGCGACAGAGCATGCACTGGCTTGCAGCCATGCAGGGCTTTTTTTTTTATTTTTCCTGGCTTGAGGCCTATACTCTGTTTCAGTTTCATTTCACTCCAATGAATCCCATTGCTTTGCTAGCTGGGAAATATAGAATGTGAATTAAATACTTCCAGTAATGATCTCTTGCATAATGTATGTCTGGTTTAGGTACAGCTACCAATCATGATGGCAAACTCATAACCATGACTGAATTTTATTCCACAGATTATAAAATTAGATACACTTGGCTGAACTAAAAAGTGCTCTATTTGCATGTTTTACTTACAAATTTAATGAGCAAAGTATATCTTTTTAGAGTGTTTTAATATATTTCTGTTGGGTTTCCTTCCCTTCTCAAAATCTATTAGCAAAGCCCAATCAGAAAAGAAATACAATAAAGAACACACATACAAAAGGGTATTGTATAGTTTGTAGCTCATTAAAAGATTCAAAACTGGAAAAGATAATTGCCATTTCCAAGAAAATGACAGGGATAAAGGTTTATAATTTTCTCTAGCCCTAAATATTGTAAGTGGTTTTTTTGTAACTTCCTATTTGGTAACCCACCAATGCTGCAGCTGGAGTCTACTCTTTTATTTTTCAGTGAAGGACTACTTGCAAAACACAAACACAAACATCCTTCTTCTTGTTCCCACAATGCTAGCTCTAAGTAATTTTGCAGCATCTTCCAGAGTCTGCTGGCAGAATGCAACATTGACTTTGAGATAGCACTCCCAAGTTAACCTCAGAGAGCTGCCATTTAACTAGTAAAACCATTTTGTAGCTTTGCTGTTAAGAGGTACCTTGTTTTGTTCCCTTCAGTTAATTGACCACCCAGCACAGCTCTTGACTGTAGTTTCTGGGAAATACCACGATTTAACTGGTTGGTAAAAAAAAAGACAAGCTGTACTTCATGTAACAGAGAGGACAGTTTGTGGCACTTTGCTTCCAGAATATTTACGTTTTATTCGGTGTTGTAGTTAGGAGTTGTATAAATTAAATAAAAATGATGTTTGAATACTGCTGCTGCTTTTCTACAAAGGCTGTCTGGAAATGAACTGCCTTTTACTCTAGTTTCGAAATTCACTAAAGCAACATTTCCTAATTATGAAACAGTGCTGTTTGTAGGTGCCTCCAGTATACCATTGATTTGACTGATAACTTATACATAAACATTAATGATTGCTACTGAGATATTTAAAAGACTGTAATTGTTCCTACAAGACTTACTACAAGGGAAATAATTACCTTTACAGATGTTTTTGACAAACACTAAATTGTAAGGGATTATACATTTACTTACCAAATGAGAATGTCAAAAATGACACTCAGCCTGTGCAGTCATATAGAGCCCAGCAATATCTGCAAGGATAGACTTCTCTTGAAATTTGAACATATTTACAGAAGTCTTACTTCAAATACTACCTGACATTCAGATGCTCCCACTCATAGAAATCTCCTTTTATTTGGACAAAGGGTATCACAACAGAGCTTGAAACTTGTTAAGGCCAATGTTTGTTATGTGACCTAGCTTCCAGATACAGCTCCCAAAGAAAACAATAGAATGGTCCCAAATGACTTCAACAAGAACAGTTGGAAAAGGGAAATAAAACTTCTTATTGGTATTCTTCTAAAGACAAAACCTCTTTGAAAATTGATGGCACGTAAGGCTGAAAACTCATAGAATAAGTTTAACCAGAGATTGACTGTAGCATACTAAAAACATTTGAGCAGAACTAACAAGGCTGGTTTTAGCTTCAGAAAAACATTTATATCGTTATTTGGGCTGGATATATTGCCAGGAAGCTGGTTTGAATTCTAGGAAAATCCATGTTAGACAGAAATGTCCAAAAGACAAGTTAACCAAGGG